TGTGTGTGTGTGTGTGTGTGTGTGAGAGTGTGTGTGTGTGCGCACGCGCCCACCCCAAAGAAGTAATAACAATTTAAACTATCGGAACATATGCTCAGCAAGAGGGACAGTGTTTCGCAAAGGAAAACTAAAACTGCAACAGTAGAAGGCCTATATATATTAGTTCGTCATGGACGGAGCATATTAATATCTAAGCCAAAAGCCGACAAGATTGAGAGTCCCCAAATCTAGACTCCGATTTCGTGTCCACAGAATATGTGGTCAGAATGGCTACTACTACCATTGGTAAAACCCCTCCTTCTCCAAACCCCGCCCCCTATAAAACACAAAAATGATCAATAGAATAATATAATATATAGGCTTTGTGTACTGTCCACTAAAAAGAGTATGCTCTTTCTTCCCATATTTGTGAGACTGCCGGTTGAAATTAATCTGGCATCGGATTTGCACCCTCGATATCACTAATCTCTTGTGAACGCTTCGCCCTGTCGAACTAAATTATATTCTTTCGGCTTGGCAAATACAATGTAGTATAGGCCTATTCTACATGAACGCAGTAGATCATTCAAGGGTTATTATTCTGTTAATCATTACGAATTTTAATTAACCACAGTGACTTCCCATGAATAAGGGTAAAACCTTGAACTTCGAGTTCGGCATTAATCCGAGCAAGCGATTGGTCAGAATCGTTGATCACGCTCACACAACGTGACTTTCTGCTTGCGATAGCCTAGTTTTGCATAAGACGAAAGATGGAATGTGGTGGTTTCCAAAGGATAGATTTTCCTTAACTTTGGTTGTAAAATCTTGCTTATTTGTGTTCTTCATGATTTTAAGTTGGTATGGCTGTGGATGACGTTCGTCCAATTACTTCTCACAGCAACATGTTGGATATTAAACTGGAGCGACAGTTGTCGGAATCGAGCCAACAAAAGGGTACCATCCACAGTGGCCATTTCATGGTTAGCAGGGTGCATGATGTAAACAACGAGGACGACGACGAAGAGGTTGCATCTCCCTTCAGCGAGGACACCAAAGGCTTCGACTTTCTGAGCGCAAGCAAGGAGACATCGAAAACATATGACTTTGGAAATGGCAGCCAGTCAATCATCGATGCGTCTCTGACAAAGTTATTTGAATGCATGACCCTTGCTTACAGGTGCGGGTTCTTGTTGCATGCGTGTGTCAGTGTGTAGATTAGATTTACTTCTCCGAGGCATTGTAAGCCAAAGGCTGGAACTGGGGGTCTTACTGTGTCGACAGTGTCTAGTGTCCTGTGTTGCTGTTGTGTGGTTACGCTTGTGATCGTTCTGTCCTCCTGCAGCCAATATATCTAGATCTAGAATCTAGTTGAAATTCGCTATACTTCAACTTCATGGTTTACACTCTCAACTACTAACTTAATCATAAGTTAATCGGAAGCCTACTTGACTTAATAACTGAGGTTGCCTATCCTAGATACTATAGTATCCTTATAGGCTATACTATAGGCCCTCTATCTAAATGATAAATCTAGAATCTAGATCTCTAGATTCTACCTGAACTCATGTCTTTTGGGGCTTCCCTTGTCAGTTGACTATATCTAGATCTCACCGTGGTGGGCCTGCTTTGCCGCTTTTAGCACGTGATGGGCTCCATCACTAGGTTTCATCACCGACTGCTTGGGTGGTGTGTGTCGGTGTGTGTGTTTGTGCACACGCGCTTGTGTGTGTGTGTACAACTTTGAAGAGAAGGTAAATTTATGGAACAAAAATTACTGAGATCGTGTATAAAAGATATGAAGTGGCTGTTCGGACTCGAGTCCGAACAGCCGCTAGAGGCTATTCGGACTCAAATTCCTGTGCGCGTGCGAAATCACTGTATACCGTAAGCAAGGTCTAAACTCGAATCCGAAAAGTGTCCCGTTGCTATTAGGACTTCAAACTGGTAGGCTATTATCTGCGTTTCACGACTACAAAGGGATCAAAACATGCATTTAATAATCACAGTCCTTATTGCCTTATAAGACAGCCCCTCCTCCCCTTTCTCTCTCTCTCTCTCTCTCTCTCTCTCTCTCTCTCTCTCTCTTTCTCTTTCTCTCTTTCTCTTACTTTTTCTCTCTCCATCCATGATCTTACTTCCCCAGGCCAGCTACATGCTATTAAACGTAGAATGACACAAACTAGACCTTCTTAAAATAGTCTGTACAGTGGGTATCCCAGGAAGTGATGACATCACTTTACTGACATTAACAGCCAATCGCGGGTGGTTGGCGGGTGCTCTGGTGTGGTTTGCTCCTTCTTTCCTATCAGACGTCTATCATCCTTTTCTGCCCTCCTTCTATTTTGTGTTTGTTACTCTCTTGTAACACCTCTAATCTTCGGCACTTATATGACCTTATTGTGTTGCAAGTGCCGTAAAACTTTTACTAAAACTAAAACTAACAGCCAATCAGGAAGATGCGTCGTTCTACGTTTAATCGCATGTAGGCCGCCACCACGTTCATCGTTTTTTTTCTTTGCATACCAGATCTTTATTCCCTCCCATACCGTTGCCCACTGCCCAGCCCTACTACAGTGGAATCTTGTTATAACGAGAGGGAGGGGACCGGAGCAAAATGTCTGCTATAGCAGGATTCTTGCTATAAGGGATCCAGTAATAAATTCAAGGGAAACTGTAAAGTAGGCATGAGTTTGGTGCCCTGTTTATTTCCTTTTGCTATCTCCCCTAATGATTATTTTGTTTCAACATGACCTCTGGGTCTTACTTGATCAAAAATCGAATCAGGTTTCTTTCTCTAGCGCTAGATCAAGCGATGTTGATTGAAAGGTTGGCGATCAGAAAGAAAGGGCTCTGGGTTAACTCATCCGCTGTGTTTTCCCCCTCCCCACCACACCCTGTTGTGCTTTCCGTCAGCTTGCGCACGTCACACATTCATTCCATCCATCACATCATTGTGACCTCTCCACCCCGATAGGAGAAGTGAGAGGCATGGTAGGCTTAGATAATGTAGACTATGCTGGCCTATCACTCGATGCATTCTGCTAGTCTGCGCATGCCACACCCTCCCTACTCAGTCGCTCCGGCCTTCAGTGTTTATACACATAGGCTCTCCAATTCTTTGTTTCGCTAGATCACCAACTAGTTTCTCAACTGGCGAGGTTTTACTTTATGTGTAATTGGGCCATGCACTGCGCACAGCAGCAGTGATATTCTGCTATAACCGACTCGTGTGTTTTCCTGATTGCGCAGTACTATATTTACAACGGTAAAGAAGAGAAAAAAACAGGGTTTTAGAATAGTGTCTTTCGTTTTTTCCGGACTTGTTATAAATGGACTCCACTTTGTTATAATATAATATTATTCTTTGTAAGGAAAAGACCACAGTTCGCACAAGGTCACCATGGTCGGCGTCCATTTGTTGTAAGTTTCTGGGCCAGATCGTAGAAACCGAGGAAGGCCACTGTTGAATTGCTTGTCTGCTTCACATCCGATACACCCAGTGATTGCGTACGTGCATTGGAGTTTGAGTCGGAATAGCCACGGAAGGCTATTCAGACTCAAATTCAGGCTCGAGTCTGAATAACCGCGGGAGGCTAAAAGATACACAAACTGATTTTTTAAAAAACAAACCGGGAGATCGAGTCAACTGTTACTGGCGAGGGAAACCAAGAGTCTTGGGGGAAACCCAGGGAGACGACAAAAATAAGTAAATTATACACAGTGTATGTGTATGTTGTAGCTTTCTGCTCAAGACTGGCAGATTTTCAGTGTCACTGCATCTTGCCCTCCCACAGTTGTTACAACTCTCACACTGCGTGGGTCTACTTGAGCCATTCAAGTTATAATTGCTCTTCTTTGATTTTGAGCAATAATTTTAGTCTGTCAGTTCATAATATGAATCATGACACCCCCGACTGGTTCTTCATCATATATATATATAATAGAAGTCGAAATTCTTGTTCTAGGCCCTTCCGACGCTCAAAGCAGGATTAATTTTTATATTAATAATGAGAGGGAAATATTATAACAGACTGAAATACTTAAGTCAAACAAGACCCCAGTACGACACTGAACACAGACATGTTGTTGACTGGATACATGGGGTACATATTGTATACGTGTGTGTGTTGTTATATAACATGCCCCTGGAAAATTGAGAAGCCGGTTTGGCGCAGTCACCCTGTGTGCCCCCCACCACCAGGGCAGTGCTACTGGCTGAAGTATCTTTAGGCCATTCCCAAAGGGGGGATATTAACATCATATTCTTATTATGCTCAGTAGAATTTTAATTGTATATGGGCTGATTTATCAATGTCATGCTCATACTGTGCCGGAACAACATGGGGGAACTGCTGCTTTTTCTTTCTTCACCCTTACTATCTTCATTTTTTATCCTCTACTTCTTTTGTACGTTTGTCACTCTGCTGGACTGCTGTTTCCGGGGTGCCTAGATAGTCGAAGCAGACTTTGTTTTGCTGTTGAGGCTAGAGAGGTGAGCAGAGTGAGCTTGATTCCCCATTTGGACTTCTCAAGTGACATCTACCCCTTGGCGCCGTAAAAACCTTACAAAAGACGAGCGAGCATCGTCTGTCTATACCTCCATTATTTCGACTGGACTTTGTTGTGTGTAATTTTCGTTCCAATATATGTTATAACATTTTATTGATGGCGCAAATGAACTCCCTTTTTTGAGCTTGTGAGCAGCTTGATTTCCTGGATAGTAAATTTTTTTTTTCAGGAAATATAGCTGGACACCCTGAACGTTTTATTTTTAATTGTTCGGTCGGTCATGGGGAATACTTTTTTCCCCATGAAAATACACATTTTCGTATTTCCCTATACATTTCATTTACGCATTTTCAGTTTTCTGTGGTTGGCATCTCTGGAGTAACTGCATCCCTCTCTTGTTTATCTCTTCACACTTATTCGGGCATATTATTTCACTCATGCACCTGTCTCAAGCTAAGAGTAAAGTAAAGCACTTTTCTTATATTCATTTTTATCTCTGCTTTACACAAATTTTGACTTTATATCTACTGCAAATTATTAGTTTACAAGATTTATGGATATTTTTATCCGAACTATATTACAATAACAGGACCAATGGTGTAGTAATATTTGACTTGTTTTTAACAACATTGGGGGGCATACCTCCCTGCATACTGACATGACCCCTCTGTGGGTTTATCATGACTTCGGACAAGTAGAGTGGTTATGTTGATGGCCAATCACAAACAATGACACGAGGCATGCAATTTTCACCTTATGATCATGAGTCTCAAAACTGTTATGATCCTATTGCTCCTCCCCTTTACCTGTCCAAAATGTATAGCTTTCCATCCCTGACAGTTCCCCCGCCTCTGTCGTAAAATGTGACCTCACCTCTTAAGATTCAGTTTTTCTAGCAAGTTCGGGTATAGAGTAGAGACAACTGCTGCACCTGTCTGATGCAGTTTGTACTTTGTAGGCCCTACCTCTAGCTTGTGATGTAAGTTAAGGAGGAGAAAGCTCAGTTGGGAATGTGATAGGGGGAAAACAAATGCGTCGACGAGTTCACACCTTGGTGTAATTCCGTCGGGGGAATCATTGCGTTTGAGAGTGGATGATCAGTGGCGCTACAGGCAGTACAATGATTGCTTATTTTTGTTCCGTAAATTATGGTCTAAAATGTGAGATCTTGCCGGAATGTAATCTTTTAATAATCAGGGTCTTGGGGGGTAACTTTTGGTTTGTAAAAATTCTTTTTCTTAAAAAATGAGGTTCTTAGACGGAGACTTCCATAAACTGTTTTGTGCTTGAGAGGGATCAAGTTATTGACATTCGAGTTGTTTTTTTTTAATCAAGAGGATTGGGAAGAGATAATGTGGTGATACATCTGAGAGACCTATAAAAAAGGCAAACACTTTGGGACCGTGACATTTTGGTGTCTCTGTTTTGTGACGTAATTAAACTTTTTTGGAATTGGACTGGCCAAAGTATTGTCTTTCAGGGCCAGAAATATACCTGAGCAATAGTAGTAAGTAGGCTTACGTCCAGATTTGTTTAAAGGTTGGCGATATTCTTAAATCATGGCCCACATTGTCTTTTTATGCATGCGGCACATGCACACACACACATGTCAATTTTGCCAAGGGTTGTCAGGGGAGCCATGACTATTGACCTATGTGTCTTTAAAAT